CACACACACACACACACACACACACACACACACACACATACACACACATGATCTAAATATACAAACACACGCACACTCAAAGAAGTACACAACAAGTCTGTCTTAATTATTCTGACATGCCCTGCCAATAACAGCAAACTTTTCACGGGAGCGTGGTAAAACATAGGACACAATCCAGAAAAAAAACCCCTGACAGAACGAACACTTCCGGGAGAAGTCAAATGCAATTACCCACACACAAACGTGAGCACTGGTGAACTCCGAGATGTTTTCTGTAGAAAACCTGAGCTTCTGGAGTGTCTTGGGACGAAGATTTCGATGGGACAATAAGGTTTCCCTTTAGCCACTGTCCGGCATGATGTCCTGTGGGGCTTGATGGGAATGGGAATGTAGTTAGAACTGCGAACAAACGGACACACGGACGTTGGGGACACAGGACAAAATGAAATATTAAAGAAAAGATTAAACTTTCCTGACGCCAAAAAATCCGGGCTGGCTTACAAAATAGAGGAATGTTCATGCAAAAGTACAGCTCTTGAGAAAGAGGTTGTTGTGTTGATAAAAGTGCTTGGGATAGTTAAATCTGGTGGAAATCAATCAAAATACTAAAAGGTAAGCTGAAATTGAAAAAAATCAGTATCAATAATAAAGCGTTATTTTCTTTAATATTAATAACAAGGAAGCAGTGAAACTTTCGTTTAATCAGTAACTTAATTAAGCATGGACAGTAGAACCGCTGGGTTCAAGTTTTCATTATTCATACTGAGGAATAGTCTTACAGTTGGATGTCGTATTTTACTTCAGACACAGGACCTACAGTGTGCTTTGAAATTCTCCAAGTTCAAAGACTGGACTCTGGTTTCTTCCGATTCTCAAGCAGAAATTCTCAGAATGTTCAATTTTGTTGGGTTTTAATGGATGTATGCAATACTTTTGTTCTTTTGGAATTGTGATAGGAATCGAAAGAAACCTTTTGCCTTCTGTCGGAAAGACTTTCAGAGCCGGTATCTAATAGAATTACTCAGTATTCTTCGAGATACATCGTACAGACTGAAAAAAAACTCCTGTGGAAGGATTTTGGTATGAATATTTTTCGGCGAGAACTTCTGGGCGCTTTTACAGCTTGCAGTCTAAGGTGATCTCAAGTTATACCTTGTCGTTTCCGTACCCTATGACTTACTTCCTTCAGAGCTGCCTCACAGGTCAGAACATTCGCTATCATCAATCCTAAAAGTGAGCAGAGAAACTCACCTAAAAGCCATTTAAAGAGCATCGAAACATTCACTAAAGATACAAAATTAAAAATATGCTTTCAGATTATTTAATTTTAGAGTGACGGAATTTCAGTGGCATGTCTTTCAAAATTACAGAACAGGGTGCATTCGAAAAGAAGCAAAATTCGGGGGTTCGAAGAAATAAGGGGGTCGAGATCATGAAATGAATCAAATTCAGAAATCAAATGTGTTTGCTTTTTAATAGACTCATTGGCAAGGTCACGAGTGCTATGGGAAACGGCCAGGATGTTAAATGCAAATGTTATGCAAATGAGTATGAATATTCTCGTTTTATGCAAGCTGCGTGAGGCTAATATAATTATCATGGGTCTGGGTGCATATTTACATACAACATGTTTTATTTGAACAGATGAGAAAGTAAGCCGAAAAAGAAAGTCAGTGAAATAGACTTTTTCACTTATTGGGAAAGCACTCATTAAATATTTGGGAAAATACACCCCGTCTGGTTCGCACTTAACTCTCATTCCATTAGATTCGTGGCGCATTTCTTGTCCAATAATGTAGAAGATACAATGCAATTGTACATGTCGGGCTCTCTGATCGCCCCAATCCTCAGGGGTGCTCTGGAAACCCGTATATTTACTCCCATGTCTGCTCTATTTCAACTGAATGCAAAAAGAGATGGCATTACCTGGGTTGCTTTTTTTTTAATGCGTGTACATTATCACTCCAACCCAAGCAGTAATAGGCCCCTACGGCTAATGCCATTGACTTAAAATCTATCTATCTATCTATCTATCTTTCTATCTATCTATCTTTCTATCCATCTATCTATCTATTTATCTATCTATCTATCTATCTATCTATCTATCTATCTATCTA